GTTTTGGTTTAAGGGCACATCTTCTTTATTAAGACTCTCAAGTGTTGGCCACTTGAGAGTCTTAATAAAGATGATGTAGAATGTAAATGTGAATTACATGGTTTGAAAATACAAAATAAGATTGAGCTGAAAAGTGTGACATGTAGGGAAAGGAAAGTTGGTCATTTTCTTTTTTTGTTTGTGAAACATTGGTTTCCAGATCTTTGGTTTTCCCTGATGGATGCATTCTAATCTTGTCTGTTTGTTTTGTTTTTTTTTTTTTTTTTTTTTTTTACTTGGCTCAATCATATACAAGGGTGCACTGAAAAGAAGGAATTTTAAGAAATTCTGATATTTGATTATTTGGTTTAATTTTGGGAACATATAGTTCTTTTATCTACCTTGCCATTAGTGTTAATTAATCTCATACTAACCAGATGCCATTACTGTCTGTAGTCTTGAAACATTCCAAATGGATGACAAATGGATTCTTGTAAAATTAAGTCGTTTCTATTAATCTTGCACTCTATTCTGCATAATGAAATATCAACTTTAACGCAACATAGCAATCATAGATGTATTTTCATAATCACTTAATCATACTTCAATATTTATGAATTAGATATTTTTTTAGAGAGCTAAATATTGAACTTGGTAAGTTGTTAGTTTCAACTTGGCACAACTTTCCATATCTATTTAAAGAGGAACAATTATGAATCTTTATTTCAGTCTTTGTCATTACAATAAACAAAACTTTTTTAATCAACAGGTTCTAAAACCAACACGTGATGTCATATTGTAGGTTGTTTTCTAAACTTCCCATTTTTCAGATATAATCTATTCAAAAGATTATAAAAAATCTACTGCCATTACCGAATTGAAGTATTTTTCAATGAAATTATTTTTATGCAAATATTTTATGCAAGTATTTAGTGTCAACAATTCTTAAATTCCTACCTTAAAGATGTATTTTTTTTTTTTTTCAAGCTTATTCCCACATCTATTATTATAATTTACAGACAGACTATTTACTATAAATGAAATAAGACAGCCTTAAAAAAATAAACCAATGATATTGGAGAAGAGACAGATAAGGACAATATTGTTTGCTTATGAATCTTTTTTCTGTTAAAATGATTAACAATGTAATTTTTAAAAGAATTTTGTGGGTTTTAAGTTTGAGGTTTTAAAATTGTACTTAAAGGAAAAGTTTTGACAGAGAGTTGTTTTTTCTCTCTTGATTTCTTTTTTTTCTTTTTTTTTTTTTTTGCTTTTCACACATTTTCTATATTATTCATCTCTTTAAAACATTTTTCAACTTTCCTGCTTTCTACTCATTCACTTTTTATTTTTATTTTTTTTATTCTTCCATTTCTTTTTTCAACTTCTTTCTCTGTTGCACCACTCCACACATTTTTCTAGGTGTGATCTGAGATGGGGCACAAAACAGTCAAATGAGATTATTTAAAAATTTTATAAAGTTTTTCTAAGTTATTTATTGACTGGAATTGAGTCTGGAATTATCGTCTGGCACACTCTCTCTTTTGCCCTGCAATGTTTTTATTTCTCCCTCTATTTTTATTCTAAAAAGGCCTCCAAACCCCAGAAAGTTAAAGTAACTGGAATCAAGAATGAAAAAGTAATGAGGTTGTTTGAATGACAAGCAGGAGTCAGTAGTATTTAGTGCTGCTTAAAATCTGGTATTAGGACCGCTTTGGTTGGACCAAAAATACACACAGCCCAAAGGCAACTCTTATTTGACTAGATAATGACATAGCAGGAACTCTTTTGTAAATTTAGACCCTTGGTAAGGGATGGTAGAAAAGGAGTAGGGTGGTATGAAAAGGAGTCTGATTAGAGAGAAAATGGTCTTTATTATACAAACATTGTTGATGTGCTTGAAACGGATTTAGGAAATATAGAAACCAATTCTGATTTATTTACTGCCAGTCAGGTAACAAAGTTTTTAGTTAGTTTAATAAAAGAAAAAAGTTTTACTTTTCATTTTAATTATTTAGTTTAAAAAATATGTATATTTCTGAATATGGTGCACTTTGAATGGACTAGTTTCAATTTGTTTAAAAATTTTATGATCACAAGTTGATGCTGTATTAATACCTGGGGAGAATTTTGTGATTATACTTTAAAAACTTCTGTCTTTTATTTTCTTTCTTGGTTCAGTAATTTCTGTATTTTTTTTTTTTTTTTTTTTTTTATTAAACCTCCTTCAGAAATACTTTTAATAAGACTTTTTCTTTCTTTAAAAACATTATTTGGAAAATGTATACAGATATAATCTTAAACTTGCAACATATTTCTTTTTGTATCTTTTTCACCTTCTTTCAATCTGTCACTTTATCAATTGTACTTTGTAATTCTAGTAGTTATGTTTCATTTTTTTTTTTTTTTACTTGATTATCTATGTCTACAAAAAACGTTAGAGATATCTTGTCAATACCATTATCCTGGGTTAGCAAGTTAAAAACAACAAAAAACAAAACTTTGCCAACCAAAGCAAAATGAAACTCTTAAATGTAAAAGATATTACATAAACTAAATTCAGCTATAACCTTTATTATTTTATGGATGAGATCATGATAAAAGTTTATGTCCATCCTCAAACTACTTAACATTGTCTTTGACAGAAAAGTGGTGAAATTTATTTTATGTTATTTAGTAAATAGAAAATAAGAGGCATGAATTATTATAGGGTAAAAAACAATAAAAAAACAAAAAGAAAGAAAGAAAAAACAGGGGTTCAGAGATTTGCTTAAACATGTTAGACAGGTTTTGGATACTGACTTTTTTTTTACTTTTAGATGGGCCAACTGAATTTAAACAAGCAATTATTTTTTTTTTCTTTTATTAAAAAAAAAAATTACTTTTTTTTTTACTCAAATTCTAACAAAAAATATCTTATATCTATTTCTAGGACAGATTTTAGTCAAATGATTTTTGTGGACATTTTCAGTAACTATTTCACCCCACCCCAATCTCATCATATTTGCTTATTATGATTTATTTTGCAGTAATATTTTCTACACTGTCAAATCCTTTTAGATTCAAATCAATAATTTTGATGAACATTTTATTTTTTCTATTTACTTTTTTAAGGAAAAAAAAAAAAAATCCTATCACTTTTCTTTTGTTCTTTACATTAAGAAAAACTGTTCTTATCTGCCTTAATTGCAATTTTATGCCAGTCATGGATCTGAGATGCTGTCTAGACTAATCAAAATTTTCTGACATTGTCCAACTTTTCTTTTTTCTCCTCATCAAAACAAAAAAATTATTTCATATAATTGACATATAAGCAACTTGGCAAATATAAGTCATTCAAGTGTTTCAAATCATTGAAGAAGTTTGTTTTTCTTCATGTGGAGGCGTCTGCTGGAAGAGCTCTTAGTTGTTCTGGCCATTGTTAAGATATTACAGGAAATAGGGGAGAAAAAGCTTCAATTTTGAAAGATTTTTTTTTCTTGTAGATAAAAAAAAATGTACTGTTCATTTAGTTCATGTCCTACCAATAAACATTTATATGTGTATATGGACATATATATATATATATATATATATATATATATATATATATATGCTTTTGCATAACAAAGAAACATGTTAATGTGTCATATAAAATCATTGTCAGCCTAAATAATTGCTAAAAGGCAAGCACTTGAAAAGTCCCTCCTTAAAACTTCATGAATAGAGATCATTCAAGAAAAAGAAATATATTGTAGTGAATGAATAGTTATGGATTATATATTAGTTGGATCTGTGGGGCACAATAAAAAAATATGTGATCTCCATCTGACACTTTTGTGAGTGGCCCAATTTATTTTTGATTTTTTCTCATAATTTGTGAATTTTACAAATAATTAAAATGAGTAATCTTTAAGTTTGATATAAGATCTAGTCTTAGGCAAACCGACAAATACTAAATCCCAAAATTACTGGCTTATAAAACCTATTCACTGATATCTGATAGTGAAGGTTCATTTTTATACTCTGTATAAATTTACAAATCTTAATGTAAATGTATTTCTAACTGACAACTAATCCTCATAGTTGTGTGAATTAAAATTTAAATTGTTTTTTTAATTTTTTTTGTGCACTCTTCTAAAATGCACAATATTACAAAGATCTTAAAATTGTTTGAAATTTAATCAGTTCTTTATTGTTTGGGCAATCAGTCAGCTGCTGTATGTCATTTACAGGGAAAAAATTCATGAAAAATTCAGGAGCTAAGAAAATGAGTTCTGTATGAATTTATGAAAACATACTGGTTAGGATTTAAGTATTTATTTTTCTCTTTTTGCTCAACATGGAAAGAAATCATTTTAGGGCAAGATAATTATTTTTACTGATAAATGGATTTATTGAAGAATCCGAAATAAAATTCTAGTCATCAATATCTTAATCTAAATGGAATCTACTTTGCAATTTTTTTTTTTCTGTTTGATGAGATTAGCCATTTCCGTACAGGAAACCTTTGGCACTCATTGAGTGAATATTTCTGACATGAGGTATTGTAACTATTTACATTGTCTGGCCTGTTATCCTTTATTGTCATAATCCCAACATTTTGGTCATTGTATGCTCTGGCCTTTTTCAGGTGATATATGTTGGAATTTCGAACAGAACCCTTTATCTAGTCCACTGGAATAGATTGTTCTAGTTCATTGCGTTTTCTGGATATCTCGGTTTCAGTTAATTCCCTTTAGTAAATCAACTCCCCAAGTTTTTGTTCATCTCTGCTGTGACTAGGTATTGAACTCACAACTCTTTGGGTCAATTCACTGGATTACTTCAACCAACACTTTTATCTACTGGCCCATGTGTCCTTGGTGCTGGTTGAAATAATCATTGGGGAAGAAGGCTGCTGCATATGATGGCTGAAATTATGATTATGATAATAAAGATGAGAACAACTGTCCAAACAATGTAAATAGTGTAAACTAAATCATTTTGTTGATCAAACAGTCTGCATAAAATTTATTGAGTTATTATTATTCTGCTTCTAGTGGAGAAAATGGTGAATACTGGGAAACAAGTCTTGCAGAACAATGGTGGGAATGTGGATGACATCAGGTAATGTACTTGCTTAGCTTTTTCTTTCTCAGGTCTCATATTTTACTTAGAAATGATTAAGATTTGTACCACTTGTATCATGTGACAAACGACTTGGCCACAGTTCACTAACTGCAAATATTAATTTCAATCTCGACTATTATTTTTTTCTTTATTATGGTTGAATTATTTTGCTTTAAAATGGGTCATGTTGATAGCAAAAATGGAAAGGAAACTGCCGGAATTCCAAGAAAAGGTAGTAAAGGAAAGTGAGAAGAAAGGACTAACCATCAATTGTAAAAAGACTGAATGTATACTTGTCAGTTCGAGAAACAGCTGAAAATGCAGGCTACAAATTCGAGATATCAGAAGTAGAGACTTTCAATTGTCTGGTAAATATTTTAACAGAAGATGGAAAATGTGACACCAAAATCAGATGGCACATTGGAATTGCAAAAGATGCCTTTCAAAATCCCAGTAATGTATTAAGGAACAGGAAAATATCATTAGAAGATGAAAAGAGTACTGAAATACTGTGTAATATCAATCCTCTTATATGGCAGTGAATGCTCACAGATGAAGGGGAGTCTTGAAGCAACAGAAATATGGTTCTACAGAAGGATGCAGAAAATAAAATGGAGAGTGTGTGTAAGCAACAAGGAAGTCTTAAATAAAATGGAAACAAAAATGACTCTTATACTTTGAATCAAAAAGAAACAATTTAAATTTCTAGGACACATAATGAGGAAAGACAGTCTGGAAAATTTGACACTTAAAGAACATATTCAAGGTAAGAGGGGCAAAGGAAAATGGCGAATAACCTACAGGACAAGCAAGTGTAAATATTTGGGAGGAATAATAAAGACAAATGTTGCTAAGGGCTACAAAGGATAGGAAGTTGTGGAGAGCCGCGATTGCACATGACCTAAAGGAACATGATACCTAGAAGAAGAAAAAAAGAATGGGTTGAGTAAAAAGTTTTACTTCAAAATATTGTTGTATATAAAAAAAATCTTTTTAAAGCATTTTTTGCATGCATTGATTTGGTTTTCATTGGCACATTAACAATTCTATATTGGTTATATAGTACCATGAGTTTGTAGGTTTGTGGGTTGTAAAATCCAAATTAGTATTGCATGAAAATGTATGGTTGCTATCAAAAAGAAGAGCTCAACATGTGAATTACAAAATGGAGATGCTGAAATCAAGCTAGCACAAAAATTTAAATATCTAGGCAGGCTTTTAATGGAGGATTGAAAATGTGATACCAAAAACTGGAGGCACATTGGAATAGTGAAAGTTGCCTTCCAAAAGTTAAACAAAGTATTAAGAAACAAGAAAATTTCATTAGAAACGAAGAAAAGAGTACTTAACTCTTATGTAATATCAGTTCTCCTATATGGCAGTGAATACCTGACAATCTCATCGTAGATGAAGAAGAGACTTAAGACAACAGAAATGTGGTTCTATAGAAGGATGCTGAGAATACCATGGACTGAAAATGTGAGCAATGACAACGTTTTAGTAAAAATGGAAACAAAAAACTACATTTATACTTAACATCAGAAAGAGAGAGTTGAAATTTCTAGGGCACATATTGAGGAAAGAGTGCTTAGAAAATTTGATACTCACAGGATATATTGAAGGCCAGAGGAACAGTGGAAAGCATCATATAATCTAGCTAATGAGCTTGTGTAAACATTTGGCAGAATAATGATTAGGAGAAATAGCAGAAAGACAAAATTTACCAAAAGCTACAAAGGACAGAAAATTGTGGAGAGCCATGATCACCCATGTCCTGAGGTGACACAGCACATAGAAGAAGAATTAAATAGGTTTAAAGACTGAAATAACAAACACTGTTCCTAATGCTAAAATTTGATATTGATATAATTTTTTTCTTTCTTCTTTAAATTTTTTTTCAGAATGGGATTCCATTGGCCACCTTTTCACAGCGTTAGTCACCTGCACCTCCATGTCATCTCACCGCAAAGTCAAATGTCATTCCTACCTCGAGGAATATTCAAAGTCAATTCTCCTTGGTTTGTCACTGTAAGTATGTGTTGTAACAATAAATAGTAAACCACAACAACCCCTGCTATTTGCTATGATTACTTGCAGTTGAGATACATAAATTCCGATATGACACTCGGTTAACAGCTTTAGGTTAAGAATAATAATGTTATGTGTGTGGCACTTGGTGAAAAAGTTTTAGATTGTAAAGAACTGGACATCAGAAATGAAAGTGGCACTGGGGTTTCAATCCTGGTTGCAGATCAAATTATTGCAAAATAACAGCATAATAGTTAATTTATTTCTTTTTTTTAACTTAAAAATTTATGCCCCACTTTTTTTAAAAAAAATGTTTAATTGATTGTAGGCTTGTGATTTTTAGGCTTATCTTAATTTCCAAGCCTCAAACAAAGAGCGTTTTTAATTATCATTATTATACATTTAGGTTCTTGATTAATAAAGTTTTTTCATGATGCAGTGTTCCTTAAGCTTATGGGCTGATGAACAAAAGGGACACAAATCACAAAACCAGGACATATGGTAAGCCTAGTTGTTTGAAATTAGTATGTATACATGAACATTTTTACATGGTTATAGAAACAGAATTTAACTTTTAAAAATTCAATTAATATATTTAGAAAATTAAAATGAATCAGTCGAAATTAGGTGCTAATTTTCAGACCATTGTAAAAAAGAAAATACTAATCAACATTTTTAGTGTTTTTTTTTTTAATTTTTTAAAGTTATCCCTTTCTTCTTCTTCTGGTTTTTTTAACCAGTGTTCTATTAGACTATTGCAATTTTGAGCACTTTTGTTTTTGACAAAATCATAGCTTCGTTATTGAGTCATCAAAGTATTTTCCCAGGCTTACTATGATATGACTCCATTCAACTAATGTGTGTATTACATCATAAAGGACAAACTTTTAATTCAATAAATTCTTTAAGGTATTGTTTAATATCTTGATCTTGTTGGACTAGACAAAGAATGCTGCGTACAACAAAAGAAATGATCCTGTAAAGATGACAGGTCTGAAGAATAGGCTTGCATATGTGGAAATACTTCCCATCCCAGTTCTATGATTGTTTTGCATTTGCAACATGATAATAATCATGGTTAACTTTCTTGCTTTGAAAGAGTTTTTTTTTCTGCTAATGTGTCATTCAAATGAGCCAGTTACTCACTGTAGGATTGTGCAGACACAGTTTGTCCAGATTGTAAATTCATAATAATTTTTTTATTGAATCCCACTAAACCTATAGAAGTATCCCTTTTATCCCAGTAGTTTATGGTGTAGCTATGATTTTCTTCATTTTTTATTCTTGTAATAAATCCATTTTTCAGTACAAGTAACTATTTTGTTCTGAAATAATGTTTTTTTTCTGTGTTGAGCAAAAAGAGAAAAATGTGTTTAAATGGTTGTTTATTCAAGTTTATGTGGAAGCTATTTTCCTTGTTTCTGAATTATCCTCAATGTTTGTAAATAACATGCCACAATTGACTGATTGTCTAAGCAATAAATATCTGAGTAAACTTCAATAACACTTCTAAGATTTCCTTAACATTGAAACTTTTGCATTAATCTAATCATCAGTTTTTCCACTTGATTGAAATTCACTTTTTTGTTTTATTTCTATAAACTTATTATGGGAGATTGGGCTGAAAGCACATAAAGTGATGTTGCTGCAGCTTCAGTAGCAAATATTTTCCAGGTTCAGGTTGCTAGTCTGGTGCCCCAGTTAGACTGCTTTACACTTTGAGTGATACTGTTAATAAAATAATGCCAATGTAATACAACAGTGCTATTAAGTATATATTAATAAATATACATTTTTTCCCCCTTACTGGTAGCATGACTCTGAGTTTCATGCAGAATGCAATCTTTAGGTGTTGAGTTGATTGTGTTGTGTATGAAACTCATAGTCATACTACCAGTGAGGGGGGTGGGAAATATATATATATATATATATATATAAATATAAATTTTATTTATTTTTTTCAAAATGTAAATTTTAATCTTTTTTTTCTTTTCCAGCCAGTGTGGGTACTTGCTCGTTTGAAGAGAGCAGCAGAAGGACAAAACTAGACATTTTTTCTGCCTCAGTTATTTGAGAATCATCAATTTTAAACTTATATTTGCATATGTGTATGTATAATATATATGGGGAATTCTCATGACTTGATCCATCCATAAATAGCAACACAATGACAGTCAGGATTCTAATCCACAATTCAACAAACTCATCTGTTTATTTAGACATAATCAGTGTGATTAAAAGTGTAAAGTCACTATTTAGGCATAGAATAAGCTGCATCTCATTATTTCCTTGAATTTTTATTTTGCTGAGTCTTTCTATTTTCCATCCAATTCAAGATGGCTGACAGCTTTGGTTAAAATTTAATCCTCCTCTCACTGTCATTATTCTTATTTCTTTACTTTTTTTTTCTCCCGTGTTACTGTCTAATGTATAGAAAACTTTACATTTATTTCTACAAAATTATGTGATGGACAAAAATTGACCAAAGTTAGCACAGTTTTATGTAATTAAATGAAGCTAATGATTTGCTGTTGCAAATATTTGCATGTAAGCAATCATCAAAATGATTACATTTAGAAGTCATCAATCTTTTATTGTATTTTAAATTTATGAAAGTAAAAAAAACTGTAAAGGTTCACAAGAGAACTTGAAGCCATTTCCTTTTAACAATAAGTTATTTTTGTTCTGATCAATTAAAACGATGGATATCTTTGAGAAAGTAATTTGATTTTAGCATTAATTAATTGAATATATATAAAAAACAAACAAAAGACTGATGTGCTACACCACAGGTAAAATGTTTGAATGAGAGAATGACAAAGAAAGATTGTATGCAAAAGAAAAGTTTGGTAACAAGAGAATGTTGGTTGGTTGGTTGGTTGTTTGGTTGTAAACTAGTCATTGGGAAAGGTATATATAAAAAAAATAACCTTTAGCCTTTATCACTCTGTATGTAACTTAATTTGCTGTACGAAAAGTTTATTCTGCCACAAGGTGATTGATCGTTGAATTTGTATGAATTTCATAGTTGTGTTGTCATATCCTGCTATGGCAACAAAAAACAACTTTGAGTGAAATTAACAATAAGGATACTGTCATTGAGAGGCCATGAAAAAGAATGCTGTGGAAAGAGAAGTAATATTAATAATGTGGAATGCTAAAGGTTAAAGCCTACTGATTTTGGTGGTTGGTTCTTGTATCCTTAGATATAAGAAGTTTGTGATTACTTTTCTGTTAACATTTGATTTTTCTTCCAAAGTATATTGGGTTTGAGGGAGTAAAAAAAATTATAGCCAAGTTGGTTAATTTTCATTTGATAGGTTGGGTTTGTTTAGTAAAATAGTATTTATTTAACATGAATATTCTAAGAGAAAAATATTAAATAGGTTTTCATTTATTCTGAAACTGTTGTAAGTTAGTCACAGTATTAAAGATTTTGTGGTGCTGCTGAGTTTAAAATAATAACCAAAAAAATATTTGATTAGATTGGCACCAATTTCCTTGTAACTTTTTATTTCTAAATTAATTTTTTTTCTGGAAAGAGGAAAACAATAATAGAAATAAAATTATCTTTGATTATTTTTTTTTTCTCAATGTCAGATTTGGGAAACAACTTATTAAAATAAAAATCACTGCCAATTCGAAATGTAAAACTACTTAATTATTTCCATATTGAGGAAATTCCCTCTTATATTTAATACTTCTGATGACATTGAAAAAAAATCATTAATTTTCATGAATTGTTTTTTGTTGTGTTCTCTTAAGAACATCAGTAAGATTTTTTGCACAAATATTTTTATTATCTAGTTTTATTATCTAACTTTACTGACTTCTACAGAAGTGAGTCAACAGAAGTTATTGTAGCTGACAGACTTCTCAAATAACCTCTGTGATCATTTTTATGTATATTTGGAAAGGCATTTTGCTATTGTGGAGAGAAATTGATTTTGTTGTTACTATTGTAATATATATTTTGAATGTTTGTATTTGTTGCTCTTTTATCTTAATATTTAATTTTTTTTAATGAACTGAACAGTTTGATATATTGAATTTTAAATTTAATGCTTATTCAGTAGAAATAATTCTTGAATTTTCAAAATGTTAATATACTACACTGGAAAACATTTGTTTGTATGTATAAGAGATAATGAAAAATGGCTTTTAAAGTTCAATCTTATCCACTGTTTTGTTTCTCTTTCTGCCCAAGTTAAAATAAAAATTTTCTTAAAATACAATTACTGTATGTAAATAATAGATAACGCTGGTTTTTAGCAGGCTGTCCTAAAATGTCCTAAAAGAAAGTAGTGTACATTATTCTCTCAATATCTGTTGGGCTGGAATATCTACAGAAACAAGTTCTTTGCATCAGATATGGGCTTAAATTATAGTTTTGACAGAATGAAAAACCCTTATATTATTAATGCGGATATTTTTCAAACATTTTTATTTAATTGAAATACTTAATTTTATTTGAATTTACTTAGAAGTAGATTTTTTTTTTTAGTAAAATTTTTAATATTTTCAGATTTGTTCATTTTTTTTTTCCCCCCCCAAGCGTAACAATATTAGCATAAATGATACAGCAACAGAATTGGTTTTATAATAAGTCACCTGAATTTGTATTTAAGATTTTTACAATGATTATTCTGACTGCTGTAAGATTAACCCATTAATGTCCAGTTTAGAATCTGGTATAAAAATTAAAATACAGTATTAATTATAGCTCTCTCTAACAAAAAATGGGATTAATTATAGAAATAAAAAAAAATCTGTATTAATTATAGTTTTTTTACCTCTAGCCCATTAATGGTCACAGATGCCAAAATTGGACTGTGAGTATTAATTGGTTAATGGATGAGAAAAGGATAGTAAAAATGTTGCCATTTGCAGTATCTAAATGCTTCATAAAATGCTAATTTTATTTTAGCTTATTTACATTGTTTGGACTGTTGTCCTCATCTTTATTTCCATATTCACGTTGTTTTGGCCCTTGTATGCTCCAGTCTTCCTCAGGTGATAGGAATTTTATACTGAACCCTTTATTTTGTTCACTGTGGTAGATTGTTCTAGTTCCACGTGCCATGACACTTCTGGATGTCTCAGTTGTCTCCCTTTAGCACAACTCTCCAAGTTCCCCACTGTAGTAGCCAGGTATTGAACTCACAATTCAAGGACACATGGCCCAGCGGATAAAAGCGTTGGTTGGATTTAGTGACTTGACCCAAAGAGTTGTGAGTTCAATATCTGGTTACTGCAGTGGTGAAGAAAAACTAGGAGAGTTGAGTTAAAGGGAGATAACTGAGACATCCAGAAGAGACATGGCATGTCTAACTAAAACAATCTACACCCATGGATGAAAAAAAGGGTTCAGTTCAAAATTCCAATCACCTGAAGAAGGTCAGAGTGTACAACGGCTGAAACATCGTGAATATGGCAATAAAGAGTCTGAACAATGTAAATAATTAGAATACCTCATCTCAGAAATATAGGCATATATTGAATTTTAGCATCTAATTGTAGTTTTCATATATGGCTTATGCACTAAAATATGTCTAAAAAGAAAATATTGAAAAATTATGCAAAATGTGTTTAATCAAGTTTAAAGCAAAATATTTACTATACACACACACACACACACACCTCTCTATATATCTATCTACACACACACATACACACATATACACACACACACACACACACACACACACATACATCATCAATATGAATTATATGAATTCTTTTAACTCTTTAATGTTGGTGGTATTATTGTTTAGCAATTTTTATACAAGAGGAAATATTCCATTGTATTCAATTTTGTTTCTTACACTTCTGGATTTTTAAACATTCCTTTTGAAGTTTTGTTAACAACTTTCATTTTATTAAAAAATGTTTTAGCAGAAATTTTTATTCTAAAAAGTTTTTAGCATTTTTTTCTATTGTAGGAAATTTTATGAAATTGAATGTTTTTTGCTCTTGTTGGTGAAGACATTTTTCCTCTCCAAAAATCTTGAAATAATTTGTGTGTGCGTGTGTATGCATATATTCCTTCTTTTTGAACTAATATCTTGAAAATTAGTCCTTTTTTTTTTTTTTTTAAATGTCATCACTACTTGCTTGTCTAACATTCACTAGACAAGTGCCTTATGAACAATATCTGCTTTTTTCATATTAATATACTATTAAAATAATAATGGTGTTTCTGTGCATAAATGTGTACTAGTTACAAAACAAAAATAATTACTTGATATTTCTTTATTTTGGGTGTCAAAAATTATATATATATATATATATATATATATATATAGTTCATGCTGTCAATAATGATAATGTATTGAACTAATTTTGCACTTGCATTGTACATATCAAAAACTTTGTTATTCTGAATTTTCTTGTTTATATTCAATATTTACCGAATATTAAACAAAACAATCAACATTCTAGCTACCCTTTAAAAAAGATAAAAAAAAAAAAGGAAATTTTATTTATCACGTTTAACAAAATATTCTATTGTCTGTTTCTCATCTGTCATCACTATATAGAGATGAGAAATTCACCCATCTCTATATAGGGGAATCTTATAAAAAAAACAAAAAAACAAGTGTTATACATTTACCAAGAAATCCTGACCATAAAAATCCTGATGTTTTATCATTTGATCAAATTTTGGAAAGTGGCTTAGACTGAGAACTCTTGAAGATAAATTCCATCACATCCGCCATAATTTATCTACCTATTAAATGAAAGTAAGCAGATGTTGTTGTTGATTTTTTTAATGTATTTATTTATTTTTATTTTATTTTGTTTATTAATTTAAACAATTTAATTTCAAAGATCATGAGTTAACAGTTTTCTTTTAATTATTTTTTTATGGTCATTTAGAAATATGTTGACTTGAAAACAGCATTTCTTTTAAGAAAGGCAATATTTGAAAAAAAAACAAAAAACAAGGACATAGGTTAACATTTTGGCAAGAAAAAATAATGGCTCTTTTAAATAAACTATTTTCATTTCAAGTTTTCTTTTCCAATCTTTAATAAATTGATATTGG